CCTTCCTGGAAATTTGACAGGCGATATGTACTTGGATTTACTACAAAATGTCATCGACCCAGCTCTAACAAATATCATAGAGGACGACCCTGCTTACAATGAACACGAACTGATTTTCCAGCAAGACGGAGCTCCTCCACATTACTCGCTCAATGTGCGCAATTACCTAAATGAGACGTTTCCAGGACGCTGGATAGGACGAAGAGGTGCAATTGAGTGGCCCCCTCGGTCACCCGACTTAAATCCTTTAGATTTCTTTCTCTGGGGGCACATTAAAAGCAAAGTTTACAGCACTCCACCTGATACCTTGGAAGATCTGCGAGGACGAATCATTAATGTATGTCGCGAAGTAACACCGCAAGTGCTCCAGAATGTTCGACAACGGTTTGAAGACAACCTGTATCATTGTATGCAAGTTGGCGGACAACATTTTCAGCATTTACTTGACTAATACCGTAAGTTTTGAAGTAAAATTAAATCGATTTTCGCATTTCTCGTCAAAAATATTGTTCGTATTTTCAAAGCTGCATATTTTCTAAAATAATGAATCGATTTTCAAAAAGTAAGAATCGATGTATAGAGAATTAAAAGCCCTTTCTAATGACCCCCCACTTGACCCCCATTCCCATTTGAAAAAATTTAGGGGATAGCACCCCCACTTAGGGGGTTGAAGATTTTGGTATGCTTTTTGAGCCAAAAGTTGTCCCCCTCAGAAACAAATTTGACCTGTTTTTGGATTTTGCCGAAAACTTCTTTACTACCCTGTAATGCCTTGCGGTACGTTTTCGATGGGCTACCCTGTATATTTTAAATCCAAGTTTTTATTAGTCATACAACTAGCAAAAGTAGATGAAGCATGTAAGTTTACTACAATTAAACTGATTGCAATAAAATACGGAGATTTATTACAACACGAATGCCTTATATGTACATATCTCTGTCTTGTCAGCATCTACGTCCCAGCTTGAAGACTGTCCCAGTCCCAGTGACATGGCGAGATTCCTCATCATTCTATCTAGGTATAGTGTCCGGAAATAGCGGCAGCAGCGGCGAATAATAGCAGGGTAAGACGCTCAATGTCAACCTATGGCCTTCGCTATTTATACTCTACGTCCACACCGGTTACCGTATTGCATTACACGATAGCACCGCCGCTCCCTGCAATCCTACTTCGCTTCTGGTGGGTACGACTGCCAACAACAATAGGCCTTCCTTCCCACTGATCCGCGACTGTAAATATTCGCTACTCTTGCGGTAATGTTGACTGATGACCACCAGATACCTCCGCTTAGGAGATACTGCTTTCGAACATTTTATTTTTATACTCAACTATAATACTATGGTATTATGGAACGTGGAATGATGCCAAAAAGAATAGTTTTCTTGCGGCTCTCTTGAATGTATATTCGGAGCAATTTTGTGTTTTTATCGCCGTTTGAAATTGTTGATTCGAAACAGGAGCGATTTTGTAAATTTTTTTCTTTTTTCGGGCGCAAAATTTTGCTACTTTAACAATTATTATTAAATTATAATTTTACACGTCATTACTATTACTGTCCGGAGAGTTTTCTTGTGTTTTCACCAAACTTTCGAATTGGTGGTTGGAAACTGGAGCGATTTTGTTAAGTTCGCTATATACAAGTTCAGATTTTTAAAAGATCTGTCATTAAATTGTTGAGGAAGTATTCGGAAATCACATGAAAGTAACTTACTCTGTTAGGCAAGATTTTGTCACTCTCCAATGCATTATTATCTTGTACAATGAGATACACCATCTTCCTTCAATCAATAAGTTTAAATGCAAATCTTTAGGTTGAAAGATGCCTCCGTCTTTTACCGTAAGCATGATTGGATTGTGTAAATTTTGTTGTAATTCTTGAATCATAGCACTAGGGAAGTTGGAAGAGCATTTTTATATTTGTACTGATCTTTTGATTCAAAATTGTAAGGATTTTGATAAGTTAGCAAATAGAGAATAGATTTATAAATTCAAAGCCTGGCACCAAAATCTCTAGTAAAAAATGCTTAAAATACAGGTAAGATATTCTTATTTGATATAAAGGTGATGAACTTTCTTCAGTTAAAAATATATTTAAATATAGGCGGACAGATCCTGTTCATCTTTTTTTTTTTTTGGAACGTGATTAGACGTACTCAAGAAGAGTACGACTCTTGACCTATTTGAGGACTAAAATTTCAAGTCCTTGAATCTTTTGGGAGAAAAAAGATTTAAAAGTTATAGCAATCTCTTCTTGCAACGAAGTCGGACAACAAATCATCGTAGAACATCATGTACGAGAGAGACGAATAGCAATAAGAAGCAGATACTATCGGAGAATACTCAATTCGTAAATTCTTAAACAAACATAGTCTTTCTCAGGAACATACAGTTCAGTAGACAAGACCTTTGCTAACCAATCTTCAATTTATAGCAACAAATGTTTATTTGATTACATACTTCATTAAACGTCATCTTGTATTGTCGAGAGGGTTTTGAGAACAATCTATAAAAAACTAGGTCGTTAAGTGAGGATTTAATATACCTAGTTCCACTAGTTACATAATTTGGCTCTTGACGATCGCTCTGGGAGTAGCTCAGTATATGACGGTTTTTAGGTCCGAATTCTTGACACATGCACCGATTGACATAAAATTTTAACAGTAATTAGAAAATTGCTCAAGAAACAAAAGTTACATAGTGCCGATGTGTGCTTTCATCCTGGGGGTGAATGCCACCCCTTCTCGGAGGTGGCAATGAAGGCACCCATTTTAATTGCAAAAATCAATAGAGGGTTTAATTCTAAGCAAAAAATGCTCTATAACGTTTTTTCCAAAAATTAATATTTTCCGAGTTATTTGCGATTGAAAATGCAGATTTTTCATCTAAAAAGTGCATGTTTTTCAATCATTAAAAAACGCGAAAACCTTGCGTTTTATTGAAAAACCCATATGTAGCAAAAATAAAGCTTTTGAAATAACGAATCGACTCATTTTGTATTGATTACCGTAGATGTAATAATAACCGAGTTATCACTCTTTAAAGGTGTTTATTTTTCGGAAAGTAAAATCGAACCTCTTACCGTAAAATAATGGCGAAAGAACCAATTTCTCGATGAAAATGAATATCACCTTTTTTAAAGTGCTTGGAAAGACCTTTAAAATGCTTTTTGAAAAAATTTCGTAGCTCAAAAACTGGCGGAGTTATAATGAAAATAAAATGGTCATCTCATTTTCTCGGAGAAAAAGTCAAAAATAAAAGCTATGGCTGAACCATAAAAATAGAAAGTAAGTGTATACCATGTACAGTTGACTTTATTTAGGTATTAATAATAGGCTTTGCAAGTTTGACCGGTTTAGAATGCCTAAATTTAAAAAAAGTTTGAAATAATGAAAAAAATTCCTTTTTTTCGAAATAACTAAAAAACTAAACAAAATATGTGACAAATGCAAAAGTTCAAAATTAAAGATCTTTTTTTTATAATATTTTTACTCACTTCCAATTTTTCTGTAGAGTAAAAATTAACTGAGATATTTAGTTTGCATTTGCGTGTAAGGACCACCTTCTTTGAGCCCTTAAAACCTTAAAATCTCGAAAACCCTTCAACTATAAAGGTTGATTTGTAGTTCTTGCAATTTATTGCAAATTGCTTTTTGGAGCGATGAAAAATATTAAAAATTACAAAAGTTATCGTGAAAAAACGAATTGTATTATTCAGTGAAAATTGTAGGATCGTGTAAATGGCTTAATTTCAGATAGTTTTCAACTAGCCTGCACCCGACGAACTTTTAAAATGATATTTTGCAATTGCAAAAAAGGATGCGGTGTGACTTGTAGTTGCCGCAAAGTTGGACTGTATTGTAATGCGACATGCGCAACATGTTCTGGAAACAGTTGCCAAAATTGTCCTCCAATCACGGACCAAACAGAGGAAGACAACAGTGATGATAGTTCTTTAGATAATATGTACATTTTTGATAATAAAGTATAATTTATTGTATAATACACAAATCATTTTTATTTTCTCTTTCACTAATTACATAATTTAAGTTTCGAGTTAGTAATTTCGTTGAATTTAGTAATGTATTGTTGAGTGTTTTGAAGCAGGTAAAAATTCTTCAGTTCCTCATTAAGGGTTCTTTTTAAGGATTGAAACGTTGCAATGCATGATCAGTAATATTATAAACAGTGATGATTCATTCATTATAAACGCTATGAAGTTGTGAAAAAAATTTTTTGCTTTATTTTCTGCAATAAGGGTGGGTGGATTGAAACGTTGCAATAAATCATGTATTATTTCATAAACAGTAAAAAATATTCAATTCTTCAGTATTGCTCCGTCAAAAGATTTCAGAGCCACGAAAACTAATTTTTGGTTTTCTTCCACATAAAGGGTGAATTTTAAGGGTTGAAATGTTGCTACAAATAAAAAATTATTATTCAAAACATTAAAAAATGCTTATTCTATTGACGTAACACTTAAATCTATGGTTTTTACGTTTTTTGCAAGAAGGGGTAGTTTTCACCCCCTAAAAACACGTTATGTATATGTAATTTTTGTAAAGGAGGGTGAAATGAGCTTACTCACCAATTTTCATGAAAATCAGTGCGTGTGTCAAGAATTCGGAGGTAATACCCTATTTTTACTGTTGTATACTGGACTAGAGTAGAAATAGAACAAATTAATCGAAATATGACGTCGAATGGATTAATGCTACCTATTTTTTCAAAAATTGTATCTTCATATTTCCAATTTCAGTTTAAATTTTGATTTAAAAAACGTTATTTAATTAATATTTTGTTTCTCACCGGTACTGCCTTAGGGAAGACCCTAAGTCTTAAAGTCTTGAACATAATTGCTTCCTCCACAACTAGAGATTTACCCGAGACCAGATTGGTACATTACAAATTTTGAGGTTATAAGTAAACGTCAAAGTGACAATACAGTTTATTTGTACTAAATAACAAAATTCAGAAGTAGACACTCAAATTAATTTTCAAAATGGAGGCGGAGGGTGAAATGGATTTAACTGACGATGAGAACAAAGTGAGACGACATATCAACAAGCAAGTCAGAAAACCAGCACGGGGCAGAACTAGGTTCGACGTGCTCGCTATCCCACAAAAAAGGAATATATTGGGCACTTACCAAGGCCACGCCTATCATTTTCCCAAGGAGAAAGTTAAAAAGTTAAAGTGTAAACTGCAGGAAATGTTCGCCATGACTCCCGAAGAAACAGAGAAATACTTCGAGCAGATGAGGAACGAAGCGAATGAAATCGCAAAGAAAAAAATGACAAAGATCATGTTGAAGAAGTTATATCAAAAGCAAGAACGCGCAAAACAGGAACAGAGGGCGTATAAATGCATTGCGAAATTATTGAAGCAGAGAATGATGTCCGGATTTGCTAATCCGACATCACCTTTGATTTCCGTAAGGATGAGAAATCTTTCTGATATCATTTTGGAACAGATTTGTGACCTGCGCAATATAGACATTCCTGACAGAGAGAATCCTAACCAGTGCGGATTATTCCTGATAGCTTTAGCCGATTGGTCGTCCATTGCAATAGAGCAAGTTTACTACACCGTCCAGTTGAAGAAGAATAAGGAGTTGGCAGAAATTGAGGAACAGGAGGCTCTTAAACCTAAAGAAAAGAAGAAAGAAGAGAAAGAAGAGAAGGAGAAACGTGATGTTATATATGGAGGAGAAGAGCTTGACTTATTGGAAGAGAATTTTGAATAATTTTACTATTTTATACATACATGAATAATAATAACTCTGTAAGTGTTTTAAATTCCAATAATCTATATCTCTATATAAGAATTGCGCCATAGTTAAATAAAATAAAAACCTTTCACTACAGAAAACGTATTTTGATAGCTAGTACTGATTTTAACTATACAGAACGTTCCGTTTAAAACCCTTATTTAAGATTGGTGTACATTTTTATTGTACATATTGTAAAGATTCAAATCTAATTCAACGAATTCTAAAAAATACGCATTTGTGGGAGGAGCTATTTCAGACGCAAACTTATTTGTGTGTGTTATGTAAATATACGGTAGTCGAGGTGTCAAAGGCGCGACACAAACATTACTGAAATGAAAGATATTCAGCTGTTGGTTCGAATTTTGCTGCAGTAGATCTGTACCCCGGATGTCAATTAGAGGTTGTAGAATAATACATCAGGCTGTGGGCATACCCAGAGAGGATTTGCAAGATCTGTCCTTATAAAAACAGGAAGAAAATCCATGTAAATACTGATATTTGCGTTTTTCTCAACCATATCTAAAATTTCTACTTCTTCTTGCCTAACCCTGCGAACCACTGGTCGACCATTTTTATTATGGACCCGGAAGCTACGTGTTTCTCTCAATCCTTGAAACGACCTTGAAAATAACTTTCTATCTGATTGGCGCCTATTACGATAAGTTTCTGCATAACTTCTTAATAATAAACCGAAGTCATATCTGCCATTTCATTATTGGTGAAGAAATTGTGACAAACCGAGATTTCAAAAAAGCTAAATATTAGGAACATGTCAATTTCAAAGTATTGACAATAAAACTCGTTTCTAGGAGACCTAAGGTCTAATTGTAAGACCTTGACTCTTTTTTTATGGTTACCTTTTTACGAAAATGGATGCCCCTAACGATGTCAACTGAGAATCCCTTTTTACTTGTAGAAAAGTATGAAAAATCAATGTTTTATATTAGAAACCACATACTGTAAGAACCAAAAATTTGAGTCTTTTTATATTTCTACTGTATGCTATAAAATAGGGTCAAATACTAACAAAATTGTCCTCATGACGAATAGACGATATACCTGCGATTGAATTTCGTTGATAACTCTCTGAATTTCGGCTTTTTAAATGAAATAGTATTTTAGTAATTACCATAACTATATTCGAGAATTTCGAAATGGCTTAAAAGGTATTGAGAACAGATGCAGAACTTCGATATCTCGTTTTATTTTCAAGCTAGGGCTGACAAATTGTAAACAAAATAACAGATAAATCCTTTATTGAAAACACCATCAGATAATAGACCTTTTTAGTAGTGACGTCACAAACGACAAATAATAAGCAACTCCATAGTGCACATTGTCATGAAGAATTTCTCAATATTTTTATTAGATTGATTGTCGATCTCCTCTGCTATCTCTCTCACTTTAATTCGGCGGTCGTCTAGCGCCATTTGGTGAACTTTGGGGATGTTTTCGTCGGTAGTTGCAGTTTGGACATAAGTGTCAAAAAATGGCTTCCTTGTCATCCTCAAATATCGCGATTTTCTAGCAATGTTAGAAATATTTAAGAAGTTTCAAACTCCAAGTGAGAAACTAATAGAATTATATAATTTATATATTTAAATTGATAGAATATTGACTTTTATAGTAACTAATAAATTAAAATTATATCGATGTAACTGAGCATGCGCATTAAAGATAATTTCAGGTAAGCGAAGTAGCCTGGCAACAGGATATGATTCAAGAAAAGTTTAGTTGTGGTTAAGAGTACGCCTATAATAAACCATTTGAAGAAAAAAACACTGGATAAACACATTGACACAGTACAACACCAAGAAAAACAATAAAAATACTTAGAAGAATTAGAAAATGCCAACATATCAATAAGATCTCACCATTTTATTTAAATTTAGGAATATTTTTTTATATCGTTTTTTTGTAAGTTTTAAGGACATTAGTGTATCTATTTTTATGAAACACGTGTGGGTTGTTCTTAAATATGTACTTCCAATACGTTACACTAAAAGAGTCTATTCAGTTTAACCAAATCGTACAACCATTTTATTGTGCTATCCCTAAAAAGAAAGCATGTTACGCTACTGTATACTGTGAATGTTGCCAAATTTTTATTACTGTCTATTTACAAGATACTTGAACATTATTATGGTACAAATTGCACTAAAATATTCCCCTGGCAAAACACCAATTTTTAAAAATAATTTACTACATACAATGTTTTTATCTGCCGTAATGAAAGATGTAATACGATGCCATTATTGCAAATTGAAAGGTTTTTAATTTGCAGCGTACAATCTAGATTAATAGTAGCGAAAAGTTAATAAACAGAGGAAATGGTCACGTTAAAAAAATACGAGTTTGATTAGTGTTTATTGCATACATTATGTTTACAGAAAACGGAAGCTAGTACAACGCGATATAATAATAAAGCATTTAGACTGTTTTTACTAAATAAATCTTTACCGACTGGAAACTATGCTTAGACATGCATTTTTAATGAGAACATAAAATAGAAGTTCAAATGGAAAATAAATGTAATAAATTACACAAATAGAAGCCTTATTCTGAAATACCAAGGTTTGTAGCGGATTAAGGTTATCTAATATATCATTTTTGCAGGATAAACAGTTGTTTGTTTGAAGTACACTTCAAGAATGGTTCCTCTTCTTCAACTGTAAGTTCTTGCTTGTCTTTTATTTAGAAGGAGATTGATTTTAAGTTTTATGAGTTGTAAAATAAAGCAAACAAAACGACTTTCTTTAAGCAGAATCGGGTGCTACGAAAAAATGCAGTCAATTCCGTATTATTGAGATATATTTTTATTGCAATGCGAAATCAAATTCTGTGAATTATTTTTAAATTATTTATCAATTTGTTTTTGTTTTTAATTAATTCAAAATATTTGAATATTACACATAGGTTCTTATGGGAAATGCTATGTAAACCTTACAATCGAATTACGGGTGAAAAAATGCGAATGGAGAGACGAAAAAATATAGACATTTACCTTAATCATTAATTAGTAGATGAGAGAAAGAGAAAAGTAGATTACCGCACATTTCACAGAGTAATAAATTATTAAACATAAAAAGTTCTGACTTGTCTTGTCGTCAGCCAAGTAATAAACGCGAAGGAGTAACGGCAACAGCGCAATAGAGTATGAATGAGGATCGGTGGCGGGAAATTGAAATACATTTTTCGATACACATTCAACTTGCGTAATTCAATTTGGAATAATAAAATAATGGGAAAGTTTCAAAAGAAGCATGTTTTTTGAAATCTTTTATTTATAAAGAACGATAAACTTTCAATGCAAGAAGTTAAAAATACAGCAGGACACAGTGTTATTTTCTTTAAACCTGACATAGGCCAACTTTTTTATTTAAAGTGATAAGACTAGTAGATACTTCCAAATGCAAAGTAGTAGGAAATAACTTGATTAAGAAAAATTTACAAATAATTCTTTCCGGTGTTGCCAGATTTCTGCTAAAACGACATTTTTTTAAATGGTATCACCGTATTTTTTTAACATAATTTGACAAACCTTCTAATTCTAAATAGAAAATGTTATATCGCATTTCATTTTTGGAGTAGCCGTTTTATAACAATCAGCAAAAACAACGAAAATAATCTGTAGTCGGCAGGAACTAAATGAAGCTAACATGGCAATTAAGGTCTTGGAAATTAAACAAAAATTGTGTTGTTTTGAAGCAGCCATTATTATTGTACTGTCATTGTGTTATTTGACAGCTGTTGTATTTGAATGTGTATAAAAAATAACGTTTTAATTCAGTTGCTAAGATGAATCAGTTCCACAATCAATCCACAAGAGAAAGTTGAATTAACTTTTAATTCTACGCAAGACATCCCGATAAGCATTTTCCAAATCCGGAGTTTTAAAAAAATAACTTAGTAAAACTAAAAACAACTGGAAGTGTGTGCCCAAGGATCTGCAAAAGGCTGAAAATCATCTTAACAACTTAATTGAAACGTTATTTTTATACACATTCAAATACAACAGCTGTCAAACGCCACAATGACAGCACAATAATGATGGCTTCTTTCAAACGACACAATTTTTGTTTAAAATCCAAGGCCTACTATTGTTATGTTAGCTTCTTTTAGTTTCTGCCGACTGCAGATTATTTTCGTTGTTTTTGCTGATTGTTCTAAAACAGCTAATCCGATAAAGAAATGTGACATAACATTTTTTATTTAGAATTTTAAGGTTTATCAAATTATGTTAAAAGAATACGGTGTTCCCATTTAACAAAATATCTTTTTAGTAGCTACTGCAGAAATTTGTCTACACCGGAAAGAATTATTTGTAATTTTTCTTAATCAATTTATTTCCTACAACTTTTCATTTGGAAGTACTAGTCTATCACTTCAAATAAAAAACTTGACCTATGTCAGATTTAAAAAAATAGCACTGTATAAACAACGAAATATTTATACTTTGCATCACAGCATATATAACAATCTTATGCATTTTGATAAATTATAACGTTGTCAATATAATTTTTCATTTTGAAATTAACATTTAATAGTTTCAGCATATTTTTTAGAATATTTTTGGCTGCAATAACATTGTATCACAGTATAGTATTACATGTATCAAATTGTATTATACTTTTATGCATTTGCTTTAAACCCTTGTCTTATAAGGAACATTTGTATTCACAGAAGTGCATCATAGTAGAATGCTACTTATGCATGTAACTAAATCATATTTAAACTTTTTCACTTGCTCACAGTTTGTAGTTAATCTAAAATACGTAAAAGTTGTTTGCAAAAAGAGCAGTGCATGCTTTATGCCATGTACTCTATGTCGATTAGTTGATGCCCTCGAACGGTGTAAGGAGGTTCTGGCTCCACAGTCTTCTCTTCAACAGTTTTTTTCCTGCTCTTGCTATTTTCTGTTCCAATTCTCAAGCACTCATCATTTCTTTTTATCACAAATTTTCCTTTCTACC